TGAATAAAACACAGGATTTGACTAATTAAAATAGAGTGATTTTGAATATCTGTTGTCCCCACAGGAAATTTCAATGGGAACCCTAACGATGACAACTTGAAACCAGATAACACGCCAGCTGCTAACACCAATGAGCTAGGAGACAGCTGGCAGGTTGCTGACTCAGATCCCGAGTGAGTCACATTACAGAAAATAGAATATAAGACCTTTAATTTTAATTTTATTTGTAGATTTTCATTTCTTCATCATTATGTCAATACAAGAATTGTTGATCCTACTTTATTCCTAAGTTCCTTTTATTCCATTGTCATTCAGCTTTGACTGCTACGTCTGCATTAAATATCGCTATTAAACTTTTCAAGTTCTTCCCAGAAATTGTCCTGTACATGTCACCAGTCTCCTGCTAATCTTAGCCTTAGAATTACCAAACACAAACATGTTGACTCCATTGCAATGAATTCTCCCATTTCCTCTCAGCTGTACTGATGGTACAGAAGAAGAAGATTGTGATGTAAAGGTGGAGGAAGAGGCCACGAAGCCTACCAGCTGTGGCATGATCACTGATCCCAACGGTATGAAAAACACATATGTGTGCTCACGCGCTCTCTCTCTCTCTCTCTCACTAAGATACACATATACACGCACTCATAAAAGAATGTTATCATTACAACTAATAGTCTAATATCATCTACCCATCTATCCATCCATCCATCCATCCATCCATCCATCCATCTATGGTCCTGGGGGCAGTAGTTTAAGGAGACAAGCCCAGACTTTCCTCATCCTAGTCTGCTCTTCTGACATTAATAAGTTATATTTCCAGCGATCTCTCACTCCAACAAGTCCTGGAACTGACCCGCCTCCTTCAATCACAGAATACCTTAACTCAAATGTGTCCAGGTGGCATCCTAGTCAATGCCCGAACCACCTAATTGGCTCCTTTGAATGTGGAGGAGCTGCCACTCTACTCCAAGCTCTTCACCCTATCTTGGAGCCCAGCCACCCTTCGAAGGAAGCTCATTTCCGCCGCTTATGTACATGACCTCATTTTTTTCGGTCGCTACCCAGAGCTCTGAACCGTAGGTCAGGGAAGGATCATGGATTACCCAGATGCTATCCCAATCCGTCTGTCAAATCAGTTAAATTTTATTTGTACAGCCACAAATCACAATAACAGTTGCCTCAAGGCGCTTTATATTGAAAGGTAGACCCTACAATAATACATATGCACAAGATCCCAAGACCCCTGAACTCATCCCTGACCTGGAGTGAGTGCTCCACCTTTTTCTGGCTGAGAACTGTGGTCTTGGACTTGGAGGTTCTCGCTTTACACTCAGCTGCGAAACGTTTCAGTGGAAGCTGGAGCTCACCATGTGATGAACAACAAAATCTGCAAAAGGCAAAGATGGAATCCTGATGCCACCAAATGGATAGCCTTCATTACTTGGCTGTGCCGAGATATTCTTTACATAAAAACTATGAACAGAATCAGTGAGAAAGGCCGCCCCTGGCAGCCTACCACTGATTTCCCCAGGGAGGGTGAGAAATGTGATCCCTTATAGTTGGTGCACAGACTTTGCTTCCATTACAGAAGACCTGACTGTAGGATTGAGGATTGTTTGCCATTTTAATGGACTCACCAAACTCCTCCTTTTTCATGTACTGCCTTTCACTCCATTTGGCCCGCAGGTACCTGTTGGATGCCTGTAAATATTAAATAGACTGATTCTTATATGATGCTTTGTATTGTCACAAGCACGTGACTAGAACACACAAACTCCTCCACTGAAACAATATGCTGGTTTACAGAGTGTACTTAATCTTATTAAGCACTGACATTTGATGACTTCAGCACCCTTGTAGACAAAACATGGCGCTCAGCACAAGCCAGGAACTGTGGAAGCGATGCTTGGGAAATGATATGACGTATATATGCAGTAAAACAACCAATTGGTTTGGTGATGTGAAATATAGATATGTGCTGTTAGCTGAAGTAAGCCCTTCATGCCTTTTCCCACTTTGTATATGTCTCACATATATTAAACAATCTTTACATTTACCTTAAAACTTTTTGGCTGGCCTCTCTGATATATATCACTGTTAGGCTAGACAATGTGGTGAAAATCATCCCCAAGCAGTCGCTTCAACTACACTTTGTTCTATCTTTGATCTTAACCTCAGGAATCTTTAAGCCCTGCCACTCTGTTGTATCCCCTGAGCCATACTTTGAGAGTTGTGTATTCGACATGTGTGCCACTGGAGGTGAGACCGTGGCTCTGTGCCAGGCCATAGAGACCTACGCCGACATGTGTGCTGCTGCAGGAGTCCCCATCGAATGGAGGACGAACACCTTCTGTCGTGAGTCCTGTTTTTCTTTGTGTGTGTATAGAGAAAAAATAGGATCTTAAGTAATACTTTTTCCATTGCTACCAAACGTATTACTAAAGTAATAATAACAGTATCAGATGTTTCCCTGAGAAATCAGTGCCTTCATTTTGAGCGTGACAAAATGATCAGTTTAAATATAAAAAGTTGAGTATTTAAGAAAATCCCCATGATTTGTCCAATACACCCAGGTCATCTTCCACTTTCTTTACTACTAGTGACATTATAGTACGTAGTTTATATTTCCATTTAAAACTGCTGTCTAACAAAGGTTACATAAGCTTGCTTTTTAAGTGCTAAGGAATAATGCTTATATGCTGCTTTATGGGAAACACAAAGGTTTATTGGTCCACAGAAACATATAGTGGACATTCCAGACCCTCCCAGATTTCAAGAACATTTACCAATATTTGTTTGTTTTTTCAGAAAAATATCCTGGTGAAAATAGTGCAGTTTAAACTATATACTCTCATTCGTTTCACTTTCACTAGGTTACATCTCTCACAACGTTTAGATAATTCCACTGCGAGCACCAAAACTGTTCCTCTTCTGAGTTAGGGGCCAACAATGGTTCAAAAAGAAATGACGTACACAAACTTTATGAGTTTTGCTGTAACATGTTTCCTGTAGACAAATACAACCTTCTTTTTGTTTATAGATATGTAACAACTGTTGTGCATTTTTACAAACAACCCTAAAAATTGCTTGACTCCCTCCAGCTCTGAAGTGCCCCCCAGGCAGTCATTACACCTCATGCGGCCCTGCATGTCCTCAGCCAAGCTGTCAGAACCCTGCAGGACACAGCGGCTCTTGCGATCTTCCCTGTGTGGAGGGCTGCATCTGTGACACTGGCCTCATCCTCAGCGGAGACAAATGTGTCCCAATCAGCCAGTGTGGATGCACTGATGGTGATGGGAAATACAGGCCGGTGGGTGTGCAGTGGGAGATTTTCCTTTTTGCAAGAAATTGTGTTTTATGTAAGGGTGCATTAAACTTTTTTGGTATATGTTTAGGTTGGAGACACTTGGTTCACAAAGGCTGACTGCTCAGAGCAATGCAAGTGTGCTGGAAACAACAACATCAGCTGTGAGTCTTGGCAGTGCAGCCCTGCACAGGAGTGCAAAGTGGTGGAAGGAGTACTAGGCTGTCATTCTACAGGTAAACTGAACGATGGGCTGGATAATTACATGTTCACGTCACCTAAAGCTGTATCAGTGTATGTTTTTGCCCTTTTACCGAGTCTCATATCCGACCTCAGGTAAAGGAGTGTGTCATGTAGCTGGAGATCCGCACTACTACACTTTTGATGGTGTGATGCATACGTTCATGGGAACTTGCACATATACTCTGGTGGAGGTATGGGAGGAGTTTAACTTACTTTGTACACAACAGATATTCCTGTGGTGCTGTTTTGTCTTTGAAAACAAAATATACACTATTTTAAAGGTGTGCAACGCCACCCAAGTCACTCCCTTCAACATAGTGGCTAAGAATGAGGAACGTGGTCAACCAGAGGCATCATATGTTCGCTCTGTGAAAGTCACCCTGTACCCTGGCACTGTTATTGAACTGCAAAAGGGCCGCAGAGTTCTGGTATGTGACATAGTTTATGATTTTACAGACATTCAATTCTAGAGGAACTACGCCATACTGAAACAATCAGCAGCTGACATGATTTCACTTTTCTGTGCTCAGGTGAATGGACAGCGGGTGAAAACCCCAGTTTCCGTTGACTTGGCTGGAGCTAAAGTGATAACCAGTGGAGCCTATAGTCTGCTGGACACAAACTTTGGTCTACAGGTGAAATTTGACGGAGTCCATCACGTTGAGATCACTGTTCCAGGAGAATATTTTGATAAGGTATCAGAAATTAAGACCATGTTTTCTAGTGTCTGCATCACAACTCTTTCGATGTCAAGTCACATGAGGAAATTAAAAATTACAAATTGTGTATGCTAGTTATGGCTGCTTGTAGTAGCTGCTCTGCTGTATATTACAGAAACATTGCAATAACCTTGTTCCACTGGCCTCTTCTCCAGGTGTGTGGCATGTGTGGAAACTACAACCAGAACCCCTCTGATGACAACCTAATGCCCAACAAGAAACCAGCCAAGGATGACATTGAACTGGGAAACAGCTGGAAATCAAATGGAGACAGTGATCCTGGGTCAGTGGGTAACAACCAATGAACAACTTTTAGTGTTGTTATGTGGATATTAGTTTTTTTTTTTACCACTGTTCATTTTAAAACTCAGTTTTTAAAACCTTACATGTAACTACAGCCCAGCCCATGCAGCAGTACATTACTGAATAACCTCGTATTGTGGATGGATTATCTCAGTTGTTCTCCTGACTGAAGTTTGGTCCGTTTACAGCATCCTGCCATGCGATTGCATTTGTCCCTAACCATCGGGAACCCTCACGTTAACTTTTATCGAGTGGAAAAAGCGATATATAAACATGTAGCACATGATTATATACCAGCTAGCCTACAAACGCCACTGCTGTTTAGTTTTCTGTCTTCATTTATGCTGGAAATAGCAGAGCTGTACATTTTGGAAATCCCTCATTCAAACATGCTATATTACATATAGATGGACACTAGCGAGCTAACTGCTTGCTAACTTCTAACTCCATTACATTTCATAAATTCGGTTTCCATGGATTCCTGGACATTAAACTTAATTGTTCCACCTGGTAAAGCAGCAACGCTGATCATTTTATTAAAGATGAAAGAATTTAGACAGTTTTTAACTCTCAGTGATGGTGCAGTGATCGTGTGACTTATGGACCTACAGCGGAGTTTGGACCCGGGCATGGCTAATGACGTTAGACTTAGAGATAGTAGTGGTCTACAGATTCACCAAACACGCAAAACACCCCTGGTTCCAGATAGTGGTTACTCTAATGAATCAAATGTATGCTGTCCATGTTGGGGAAATTACACCCTGATCCAAATGTTCTTCTGTTCAGTTGTCAGCCAGACACCCGTCCAGACATCCACCCAAAGTGTAGCAAAGAAGAAGAGATGCTGTATGAGGCTCAGTGTGGTGGGGTCATTCTCTCCAATAACTTCAAGCCGTGCCACGCTCTAGTGCCCCCTGAGGCTTTCCTGGCTAACTGCGTCTATGACATGTGCGAGTATGACGGCATGCAGACTACGCTCTGTGACAACGTGGAGGCATATGCTCAGGCCTGTCAGAGTGCCGGTGTCACCATCAGCTGGAGAAACAGCAGCTTTTGCCGTGAGTTACAGTAACAAAGATTCACATAAATATTTGAATTTATTGTTTGTCTTACCTCATTCACGTCGTTCTCTGCAGCCCTGCCCTGTCCTCCTAACAGCCACTACTCAGACTGCACAGCCCCCTGCCCTCCCACGTGCTCTGACCTCTTCCCTGTCTTCTGCCATCTGCCTCCAACTACTTGTCTCGAGGGCTGCCAGTGCAATGCTGGTTACGTCCTCAGTGACAGCAAGTGTGTTACTCTGGACCAGTGTGGCTGTCTGGACTCAAACAGAGAGTACCATGATGTGAGTACAGTACTGCCCGTACTGTTGCTAGATGATGGACTCAGTGGGATGTTCCATAATAGAAAATCCTGAGCTCAAAAGTACACGGAGGCTATGAGGATTTAATATTAGCATATTGAAAACCCTTTGTTGTAAGTCCAGGTATAACCAGTCCCATGCATGTCTGTGTGTGCGCCCACAGGTAGGAGATTTGTGGCTAACAGATAAATGCTCTGAGTCGTGTACCTGTAACCCTGGTGGTGAAGTCAGATGTGAGGACCACAGCTGTAATTCGAATTCACTGTGTGACCTGGACAAGAATGGAAACCGCTACTGCAGACCCACCGGTGAGTTTGAGAGACTTCGAACCTTAATAAACAAGCAGAGTAACAAAAATGGCTGTGGTTTTTGACCATGAATCCTCCCATTTTCCACCATCGTTAGAGTTCAATCAGTGCAGCATCTGTGGGGATCCTCACTACCTAACATTCGATGGCTTCAAGCATCACTTCCAAGGTTTCGACACCTATGAACTTGCTCTGGGTCACAACCTGTCGAGCTCCCTGACGCCCCTGGTGGTGAGAGGAAAGAACGTTAGACGTGGAGTGAACAAGAGGGTGTCGTTCCTGGAGGAGATGGACATCAATGTTTACGGTGTCAATGTTAAATTCCTGCAGAAGAACACTGTCCTGGTCAGCTGACACTTTGTTAAAAAAGAGCAGGTTTTCATTCATTTCTAATGGTAAAAATGATGTAACGCAATCCTACCTGATCTCCTGTAGGTCAACGGGGAGTATGTAACACCTCCTCTCACACCAGTTGATGGTTTGACCATCACAAGGAACTCCAGGCAGATTCAGCTCACCACTGACTTTGGACTCACTGTACGCTTTGATGGCAACAGTCGAGGAGGTAAAAGAAGAAGACAGTTCTGTCTGAGAACGTCTTAGGCTTTTGTACAAATCTGTTCACGTTCCTCTTATGTCTCTCTGTTTGTGTATCAGAAATCATACTTCCTGGTACCTATAAGAATTCTGTTAGAGGACTGTGTGGGAACTATGATGGCATCACCAGAAATGAATACATGAAGCCAGATGGGACAGTAGTCAGGGATCTTAAAGAATTTGGAGAGAGTTGGAAGGTCAATGATCGACCTGCCAACAGACTTAGGATCTTGGACCGTCCGATCCGTGCACTGAGGTACGATTACAACCAGGCTCACTGCTTCTACAGATTTCTGTCACTATTTAACAGAGAATATTGTTGTTAAAGAAAACTGCCTTATGTTATAAAATAAAGATAATTATCGCTGCCCGACAATAATTAGCAAGCTTGGCCCAAGTCTGTCTGCCTGTTAAGTGCTTGATAAAAGAAAATCTTCAAACAGAATAGGCTCGTTTCATGTTACAGTTTTTGTGGAAACTAAACTTCATGTTACACACGGCTGTTACACAACAGTTTCTCTGTCTCCAGACAAGAAGCAGAGACTGATCCAGACTCAGGGTTCGAGGTGTCAGACTGCTCTCAGTCACAGCTCAGCGACTACAACAGCCCGACGAAGTGTGGGGCGCTGTCTGATTCCAGTGGGCCATTTGCTGCCTGCCACGCCACCGTGTCACCCCAAATCTACCAGGAGTAAGTAGTCTGCACTTAAGTGGGGATATGTATGCATTTCAGTACAATGTTAACTTGAGCATAATCGATATAATTCATCTGAAAAACGCAACGTCTAGATGAACAGAATCAGCCTTTTGGGATTTACGTACCTGGATGATTGAGCGTGCATCAAGACATATTCAATATAACACGTGACAGCAGCTGTATGAACCAACGTGCATGTGTGAGCTTTTTGCTTGTGCTCATGTTTGTCCTTTCAGTGACTGTCTGTTTGACCTGTGTGCTGAGGGAGGCAGTGAAGCTATGCGCTGTGCCAGTTATGAAGCATATGCAGCAGCTTGTCAACTGGCTGGAGTTACATTAGGATTGTGGAGGCAGCAGCTGGAGTGCGGTAAGAAAGGCTGCCCTTCATTCACATCATATGGGAAGACAAACAGTTCCGAGTCCATCTCCTCACTCCACCTGTTGTGTGTTTTTGTTTGTATTCATAATTTGAAGTAAATAAAAAACAAACTGCATTTCAAAACTGTCAGAAAACGCAGATTGTAATGTGCTGTCGAACGGTTTGCTGTAAATAACATCACGTTTCTCTTTCCCAGTCCTCTCTTGCACCGCCAACAGCACTTACTCCCCCTGCATGTCATCTTGCCCCGCCTCCTGCGCCAACCTGGCAGCACCCTCGGAGTGTGAAGTCACTTCGTGTGTGGAGGGCTGCCAGTGTGCCGCCGGCTTTGTTATGAGTGAGGGGACTTGTGTGCCATATGCACAGTGTGGCTGCACCTTCCTAAACAGATACTACCCTGTAAGTGGCCTTCAGTTACACGAGTGACTGTGTATCTATGTGACCGTGTGACGATGTGCGCTCATATCTCTTCCTCCTGCAGCTCAGAGAGAAGTTTGTGACCGAGGACTGCTCTCGGTCTTGTGAGTGTAGCAGTACCGGTGCTGTGTGTGAGCCGAAGACCTGCCAGGACGCTTACGTGTGCACCATCTACAACTTCAAACGTGACTGCTACAAAGGTACGTGTTCATGCAAGTGTTTGAGCACCGTGTATTTTGAATCATACAATCATACAGCAGGGCTGTGTGGGAGAGTCTGGGTGCTGAACTGGTCTGTGTGCAGTCCAGGCCGATAACATAAAAGCAAAAACACAACAAAGAAAATCCAGGACCATGGAGCATCTCTAATCCCACAGTAAACAGCAATGGGACAACATTCACTCCACTAACTGGTCCCAGTTCACAGCTGTTTATGGACAGCTGCTAAAAAACTGATGTTTTTTCATAATTACCTCGTTTTTTCCTAAAATTCTATAGATTCTCAGTTTAATTATGTGATTATGTGTTTCCTGTTGTGAATAAAACATCTTACAAATTAACTGAGAAATGAACTAAATTAAACTGTCAACAACAACAACACCTATTTTTGTCTTCTTGCAGCAAGTCCCTGCCTCAGTTACCCCTGTTTGAACAAAGGCACATGTCAGGACTCAGGCAACAACACGTACACCTGTCTGTGTGCAGAAGGCTTTGAAGGCACAAACTGTGAGATGGAAGTGATGCCACCCACCGGTGGAGGACTTGGTACGACTCAAACATGACTTCATTCTTTAAAGCTGTCACATTTCCTCGTGAACTTTCCTGTTTCTATACTACTCTTTGTGTCTGCGATGTCTTTGTGTGTCTTTGTGGATGCAAGACTAAACATAGAAACATTTTAGTATCTAACACTGAAAAACTAACGTTCAGCTAGATGTCTCATACTTCACTGTTTATCATCATAAGATCTATTTGCACTAGGATCAACTAATATCAGAGGTATTAGCCAACACGGCGTTCTGGACTAAAGTAGAATTAGAATTTCCGTGGTTGATATAACCCAGAAAAATGTTCAAAGTGACAATATAACGTCGAGATAAGAGGTATCATATAAAATATTGACTTAATATCTCCTCCAAGCTCAGTTTCAAATTCATATAAGGACACTGCACGCACTGTGATTGGTCAAATGAACTTTTTCACTGAGAGTGGAGGACATGTGGTTAACGGTTAAAGACTTTGTTTCTCATTTTTGTGTGTTTCAGAAACTAAGTGGATTATCCTGATTGCGGTTCTGGTCCCAGTTGCTGTCATTATCATCACCGTGACTACCATTGTTCTTGTTTGCAAAAAGAAAACCATGTGAGTGTTAACAGATCATCTTAACAAAAATATGCGCTTGAATAAGTACGTCTGTGTGCACTGTATGCAGTGTTGGGAAGGTTACTTTAAAATGTATTCCATTACAGAATACAGAATACATGCCCCAAAATGTATTCTGTAACGTATTCCGTTACGTTACTCAATGACAGTAACGTATTCTGAATACTTTGGATTACTTAATATATTATCATGCTTTTTACAACAACGTGAATGTACTATTGCTGTGTGATTTATTACTATTACTGAAGGTCCGCGACTCCGAACTGTAGTAAAGGGACCTCTGACTAATACGGCGGGGTCCCTGTCGGCTCGTAGCCGAAAAATAGCTTTACTTTGTTGTTGGGTCAACTTTTATTGACAGAGAGAGGCGTTGAAAGACTGCTCCAACGGAACTTGTTGTTTCAGAGTCTTAATAGCTTACTTACAACTGGGCTCGTCAGGCTCTCTTCTTGGCTGCAGTGGTTATTATTATATTTACATGCTTCCAGCTCCCGTTTTTGCTCGATGACACTCGTACCTTTCCACTCCCCTTTTTCTCCCTCCTCGCGCTCACAGACACATAACGTGTATGGCAGTCCATTCTCCCTGCAGCACGGACTACACTGCCATGATGCTACATTCTTTAGAGCTATGCTTGTAGCATTCTGCCTGTTAGCTTAGCACAACAACAACAACAGAAAAGGCGCTCTCTCACCCAGGAAACACACAGTCGCAGAGAGAGAGAGAGCGTCGCCCTGTAACCATGGCAACCGTAACGCTGCCGCCTGGAACAACAGAACGTAGCTGTCAAACAAAACCCAAACAGTCCTGACCCGCGACAAAATGAAACAGGAAAGTACCGCAGTGTAATCCATTTATTTCAACAAAGTAACTGTATTCTGAATACCACCTTTTTAAACGGTAACTGTAACGGAATACAGTTACTCATATTTTGTATTTTAAATACGTAACGGCGGTACATGTATTCCGTTACTCCCCAACACTTACTGTATGAAATTTAAACACAAATACATGTCTTAAAAATATATCTGGGCCAATATCTTTTGTTTTTTCCAAATACCATTATAAAACTTGAAATAAATAAATAACTGTATGCATGCACACATTAAAGTCTCTAACCTCCGTTTTTCTCTTTTCAGGAAAAAGAAGAAGAAGGAGACAAATGTCAGCATGGAATCAACAAGTAAGGATCAGGAAAAAGATTAAATGAGCTTAAAAAAAAATCTGCAAAACGCAATAAAGCTGCTCTACCACAATAAACATTTAGTTAGTGTAACACTCACTACTGTTAGTTGTTGTTGTTGTTTCCATAATGTGACTATAAGCATCAAATTGAAAGGGTGTGTAGCAGTCAAGCTCCTGCTCATCAAATCCACATGACCATCAGAGTGACCAGTTTGCTGGGCTGGAACATTCAGGTGTATATTAACACTACACCACCAGGCGAGGATGTGCCAGCTAATCCACTCAAAGGTCTGACAGTAAAAAGCACAACGAAAGAGCAAAATATAAAAATCTCAGACTCTGTGTGCCTCGCTTAGCATGTTATGTGTAAAAATTCACGACAGCGTCCTTCGAATAAGAATAAGTGTCGCTTGTTCGGAAGCTTTTTCTCTCTTAACAAAAGAGGATGGCAGCCCACCTTAGGTCTGCAAAGACTCCTCTTCCTGTCAAACTGTCAACAATAGTAGAGGAGGGATGTGCTGGTCGCAAGTGTGAGTAATTCCTCAGATTAGAAGTAGGTGGGTTTCTGCTTCTCGAGTCCAATTAAAGTCAAAAACACAAAAATCACAGGAGAGGAGCAAAGGTCTATGCCAGCTGTTTTATTAAACAGAGAAGCTCAGCAAAACAGAAGGAAAGGCAAAGCTCCCCTAGGGTGTTCGCTGTTAGCGCATGCAGGTTGGGACCAACCCCAATGGACAGACAGCAGGAAAAAGCCCAGAGGACTTTCCCAGATCCCCTTCTACAGGAACCCACCTCCCTGCTGTGGAGTAACTTTCCCACGCGCCCAAAAACAGCAGGTGCAGGGTCAAGTACGGACCAGGACTCTGGCTGAGGGCCCAGCACAAAGGGGCACCCTTAAGTTAACCCTTTGCTTTGCCTTCTGGCAATAGGTCACAACATGGTCAAAGGTCACACATTACTACAGCAAACAGCGTACTTTTTGTGATAATCTTATGATGTACATGTGAATAATACTTGACCTAACTACATCAAATATATGGGTTAAATACTTTACATAATAATAAACACTCCATCGTAGGTTAATAGTGTGTTTCAGTATCTCTGTTACCATGTTACTATTTTCTAAGAGAGCTGCATGAAAAATGTTTATTGTGCGTGTGTGTGTGTGTGTGTATGTGTGTGTGTGTGTGTGTGCGCGTGCATGCGTGCGTGCGTGTGCATAAGGGCAAAATACCTCGTGCCTAATATTCTACATGAAAGCTATCTAGTACAGATAGATATGCAGTGTATAGAGTTATATAGGTATACATGTCATACAAAAATCCACCACAGGGGGTGATGAAGGGGCAACATGAACTCCTCTGTATACCAGAGTCAAATGTGATGTCATCTCTCTGACAACTAAAGCTTTGTGTATAAATACTCGTATGTATATAATGTGTGTGTATTTTACTTATTTTTCAGCTCTAATATGTCTCCCATGTCTTCTGTTTTAGGTGTTCCATACACAAACATTGATAACCAGAAAAAGGAGAAAGTCACTGCTTTTTGATGACAAACTTCAATGAAACTATTTTTTCTCTATGTAACCACTTGTTATGTCAAAGAAGAGTAAAAATGAAGATAAGACTTGCTTATTTGTTTATTTGTTGCTTTTTTAAGTTATGCTTGAACATGTCATTTGAAGTGAATGTTTAATTAAATAAATAGTTATATGTGTATGTGCTTCTTGTAGTGTCTGCCCACAGTTTTTCAGAGTAATAAGTTCCACCCTGTCTTTACTTCAGAGCGTGCCCATTACTGACCTGCTGTCTAATAACCAGACAGTAGATGTAGAGAGAGACAGCAAAGCGAAACACCACTGTCCCCTCTGCACCAAAGCTCATGGAAAAAACGACTGAAAGTAGAAAACCATTCTGTATTCAGGCAAATCAAACTTTTTTTTATTCTTTTGGGAAAACATGAACTCCAGACAATCTGATGGAGTCACTAAAATCATATATTAAAACAAGAATAGGACAACATTCCTCTCAAAGAAACCTCAGTTCTGAAATATTTGCAGACTGTTGACCGAATAGGAAACGCTGCACATTAGTACGCACTGCCATATCTCCTCTTTTTTGATAAATGTTGCTGTTATCAAATTTAAAATTATTTTTCCCAAAAAATCCATTTTAAATACTGGAAGTTCTGTTGTGAATAATACATGTTTTTACAAAACTGGGCCGCTCTGTTTGTATTTACCTTTTACATGGAGTCCAAACGTTTTCAGAGCATTTGTAAGAGGGGAGGCACATTTCTGGATAAAGTCTTTGGACAGATACAATCAAGTTTAACTTGTATCCAAATGATGGGAAGATAAAAATATAGAGAAGGAAAGGAACACCTCGTGATCCAAAGCACATCATCATCTGTGAAACACCGTGGAACGTGAAGTGTGCCGGGCTACAATCACTGTGGAGAGTCAGCAAAGTGCTATAACACACTGCAAATGGGGGGGAAATGGATACTATTACCGCGCAAGCAGTAGCTGGTAGTCGGGCCACATGCGTGTCCTTGTGCAGTTGAACATAATCAACAAAGTTCGCTTGTAGTTGAAAACAAACAGGCAAATATTTATTTCCACAGTCTTTAAATATAGTGATCCGTTTGAATGTTCCTGTACACGGTGAGAAAACTGTTTGACTCCACAGCTAGTTAAAGCCCCGTTACTCCACACTCGCGAACGCTCCCCCCGTGCACGGTTACCATGTATTAAAGGAACAGTACGTCAAAATTAAATAAGGAAAGAAAATACAATTTAATTGTAAATATTACGCTAAACAAAATTATAAAGTAAAAACTGAAATTCCTTATTATCTTACACTTATCCAAACTAATTCAAATTATTAACAAATATACACTCTGTGCAATCTGAGTAAAGTAAGAGATGATTAGACCTTTATCTTACACAGTATACTGTAAATGCAAGCTACATGTTTTTAAAGGCGAAACACAGGAAATTGTTCACGAGCCCAGCGAGTCAACTGTCCTCTATTCAACAGAGTTATCAAAGAACAATGCAGAAAACCCAGGAACTGAAGGCAGGGCAATAAAAGCCTGCCAGAGCATGTCACGGGCATCTGATGATGTAAATGAGCTCTAGATTTTAGGGTCACTGACTGCAAAGGATTTTATTCATATATTTAAAAAACAAACTCCTATATTTACAAGTTTAGCCTCTAAAACGTGGGAGAACATCTAACTAATGACCAGCTGGTCAACTCTACTAAAAATACACGTCTGAAAGTATGAATAGAGTATATTTTGCAGAGGTTTTATACATATTTTTATTCACAGCTTTATACAGTGTAGAACAACTGATGACACTATGAAATTCATCCCAAATTTATTAAGAAAGTGAGCTCAAACTTACAGTCAGTCATAAAAAAGAAGAATCTAGATCGATCTATGCACGCACAAACGCACAGACTTCATAGTTTCTCACACAGTACAAAATACTAAATAATCCGGAAGTACTGTGTAGCACCCACAGTGTGGTTGATGCCACTTGCTGCACTAGAGAAGCAGGAACGCATATTTCCAAACTGGGTTACGTTGTTAGAAAGGTCGCTCAATACTTTTAACAAAAGCAAAAACCCAGCAGCTGTGCACAGACTCACTAAGATTACAGTCTCAGCTGCACACATTCAGGATGTTGTTTCCTACTCTGTGCTGAACACAACTGTTCTAATGAGAATGAGAACTTTGATGGCCCATAATACCCTAACCCTAATACATTCAAAGTATTACATCATCTGACCCTGACAGTCACTGCACATACCTGTACCTGTTACGTCAGTTTTTTAATTGTAAGCCTATTTTTGCATTTATCTCTACTAAACTGTGCACAATGTTTAGGCAGATGCTCAGATTCTAATCCATAACAATGCCATGAGCGAAGACATTGGTACCACCAGTGCAATGACTCCAAACATGCACTCGCACATGCAATCATCTTCAGTCTCAATAAAAATGAGTTACAGTGGGATGCAAACGTTTGTGCAGCCTTGTTAATAGTCCTTATTTTCCTGTATAAATCGTTGGCTAATAAAAACTGTCAGTTAAATATATCATACAGGAGACACACACAGTGATATTTGAGAAGTGCAATGAAGTTTATTGGATTTACAGAAAATGTGCAATAATTATTGTAACAACCAACGATTTATACAGGAAAATAATGACTATTAACAAGGTTGCACAAACGTTTGCATCCCACTGTACGTCCTCTTTAAACTGTCAGCCTCCTACAGTATCACTCGTTTTCTACTGCACAGGAAAAGCAGTTTTATGATAGTGCAATAAAATCAGTGTTAGCAAAAATTATATTCACAACTAAAGTGCAGATTTTATAATTGTTAATGTTTTTTATGTAAAAAAAAAATCAAGCAGCTGTTTCTAAGCTGTATCGGGCCCATTTTTGGTCCACGTTCACAAAGTTGAGTGCGCTGCCCGCCAGCTCAGCTGCTGGGATATTTACTCTGGTTATCCTCGTCTTTTTATGATCTGGAACATGCAAGTCTAATAAATCAAAAACAAGAAGGAAATGAAGGAGGGGGCAAATATCACAGCAGGAAGGTCTGAAATATTAGACAGTGCTGCTAGAAGTTAAATCAAAAGATAAACTGAAAGTAAGTAAGTGACTACTGCAAGGGCTCGACACACTCTGATTGGATCCTATTATAAAACAAAACTTTTAGCCCATCAGTCTCTGTGCAAACCATAGAGGCTGACATAAGAATAGTTTAAGACATAAATCCTTTAAGTTTGAGGCAAGAAGCCAAGAACCAGCTGTAAACCTTTGACATGTTAAATAGAATGAGTAATTACATATTTATTGTTACATATAAAGGTCACATGGATACTGTAATAAGATTAAGTTAAATTAATTGAAATGTGATGACATTATGGTCTGTTGACAGCACAGGATGCAAAACAAAACAAAAAACATTTCTTTACAAAAACGTAAAAAGTAAAAAGTTCTGTTATCACGTCCACATTTTGAGACATGAACATACTGGAGCTTACTTTGTGCTATTGAGCCTGACTCAATGATGCTAAAAGGAAACTCGAGTGAAACCAACAGATTCAAGCATAAACAGAGACGTGTATGAACAGTTATACACAGTTAAACAGGTTTAGCAAAAACAAACATTTTTAAAAGGTCTTTAAAGGAAATAAAAATGTTGATGTGATGGAGGGAATTTGTCATCAGGGAGAAGCGTAACAAACAGAAGTATCCCTCCACTGACCTGAGCTCACATCAGAATCTCATCAGCACCAGTCCTCTGACTCATCTTTCATTCCTCATTCACTGACTCCATCTTTACCATTTATTATAGTAGGACTGCTGCTTCTTCTTCATGAAGACAAAGATCTGACGGCTGCTCTGTGTTGAAGCACAGCCGCAGAACAGTGATGCTTTTGTCATAAGCTCCCACAGTCCAGATCACCTGAACGGAGAAACAGAGTGAGGAGTTTAAAATGCTTCTAGGAAATGTACCAACATTAGACCAGTTTGCAGTAGATTTACATTTGTGTACATTTTGATAGATGGACATTTTTCACCACTATCCATTTGATGGCAAATAATCGAAATACAAATTTCATTCCAATTAATTTTAGGGGTCTAAAGTTACTTAGAAACAAACCGCTCCTCCAGTCAGCTTGGATAAAGGTTACGAACACTTTAGGCTGTCGTGTTGCTTTAGTCCCGTGATAGCTTGTTGTATTGTTTTTCTACAGCCAGAAGCTGAATGTTAACCATGAATATTAAGTAACACGTATTTCACTCCAGCTTCCTAAGTTTTGTCTTATTTTTACAACATTAAGAGCCAGTCCATTTTGATTGTGCAACTACAGAAGGCGGTTAATGTTTCACCTAAATAAAACAGGTAATGTTGAACAGTACATGCACCAAAGTTTCCTACCTTTTGTGTACATCTTTGATTTATTCCAGCACTAGCACCTTACACTCTCTCTTGGCTATTTTTACCAGTGAAACAAAGCTGGGGTCGGGGGGCAGGTGAGGGGCTCGATTAACAGTTCCTGCAGGAGAGGTTGTTGTCTGGAGCTCTGCCATAGCGCCTGACCTGGACCCAGAACAAAGATATCACTGACATCATTGTGGAGTGCAATATGAAAGATTGTCTTAAATGCGTCTCCAATCTTGCATACCTACTACAATGTCTCTAAAAAGTGTATCGTCTATTATGTGAATCTTTTATACAAATATATTTGGCTTAAAACTCAAAGGAATTTCCATCCATCCATCTTCTTCTTCTGGAAACAACCTAAGCAGAGAAGTCTCCAGCCACCTCCCACAGCTTATTCAGGGGGACGCCAAGTCGTTTCCATGGCAGCAGAGAGATATAGTCTTACCAGTTTGTCTTGGGTCAGCCACAGGGTTTCCTCCAGGTGGGACACCTTGGAACACCTGACCTGAGAGGAGCCAATGAGGCAACCTATAGATGCCCAAAACAATGACCCGGCTCATTTCCAATTGGAGAAGCAATAGCTCGACTCTGAGCACTTCTTGAATGACTGAACTTCTCACCATCTCTAAGGGAAAGGGCAGCCACCCTCTGGAGAAAGCTCATTTCTGTTGCTTGTATCTTTGATCTTGGTCACAACCCTCGCCCACCCAAGTTGATAAAAGGTCATTTCTTCCCTTTTTACAGTTTTCAATTAATTCAACTTAACTTTACTCATTTAATAAAAACTTTTTTTCTCAGTCGCCCACACCCCAGTGGAAGTGTCTCAGTGCCCCACAGTTTGAGAAGCAGTCTTGTACAATGACCCTCCATACCTGAGATTTACTGACCAAAATGGCTGGTGGTGGGGGAAGCTCTTTAACCGGCTCAGGCTTCGTCCTTCGAAGGTGTTTTTCAAAGGTGACTGAGGCTCCGTGGGCGGTGCGGGCACAGAAGCTGTAAACTTCATATGCTGGCTCAGCTACCGCGTTATCATAGACATGTGGAAGATGGAAAGCCATTACTTGCATTTTTTGACAAAACTGTGCCAAATAAAAACAATACAGCAGTATGAGCGGTGTAGTAATTCCTGGTTTAAAGTTCTTCAAGGATCAAACATTAAACGGAGCATAAACAGGATTTACTGGGCTGGGTTTGTGCACTGTTAATATTAAGACAATGTCAATACATTTAACAACTTATTTCCTTTGGTACCTCAAAAATCCCAGTTTTGAGAATCTGGAAGGCCACAGTGAAGGACAGCATGGAACCTTTCTTACACTGGCCCAGGTTGTTGAGCGGAGACTGGCACACAACCGCTCCCACACTGGGATCCTGCTCACTTCCTCCTAGATGGATGCATGGACAGTGAGGAGCAGGTAACAAACATAAGCAGGGGGAAGAATGAGAATTTAGACTGGATTAGGTATCCGATATAGGATTGGAGCAGAGAATATTTATCCAATGCAAGAATCTAAGGCTACGTTCACACTGCAGGTCTTAATGCTCAAATCTGATTGTTTTGTCTGCTTGTTCACACTACAAATAAAATGTGACAGCAAACGCGCTCTAGTGTGAACCCTCAAAGCGGCCCGCATGCGCAAAAGAAGACGTCACACACAACGCGCTCTGTTTACGGAAGTAAAAATGGTGGCTACGGATCTAGTAGGTGTTGTTGCAGCAGTCTATCAATTTCTCTCCATGCTAATCAAGTCCAAAACCTCAGTTTCTGTCCATTGACTCGCTGCAGATTCAGGAGAGGGAGCAAATAATTATTTCCCACACACTAGAAACTGTCTGTAGGATTTGATACTCACCCTCTGAATTCCAGATCAGACGAACAGCAAGGAAATCTTGCAAATTGTTGAGCAGCGTATATTTCACCAAGAAGTGTTGTTGAGGCCTGATGGTCCTTGGGCAGGACGCCATCATCACCAACTCTGGACGATTTAAGTGAACGCTGGGTATCGAGTAACAAGTAGAGATGCATCTGGAGACAGCATGATAAGTATTATATTTCTATTATTAGAACATATAGCAGGAATTCTTCTTATAAGAGAAAACAAATAGCACAACAAGACTACAATTTCAATTCTATACAATTATAAACAGAAAAAAGTCATTTAATGTTCTTAAGAGACAGACAACCATTCCCACTCACAGTCGTACTTATGGGCAATTTAGAATTATAAGTTAACTTAATCCCACTAAACTTTGGTCTTTGGACTGTGGGAGGAAGAGAACCCACGCAAACTCCACACAGAAAGGCCCCAGGTGCTGCAACCGAACCCAGGATCCTCTTGCAGTGCTTATCGATCGCAGTGTTACGCCTGCTTGCGTTTGTTGAGCAATTGCTGTCCTTCTACAGCAATGCATAGGGGTCAAAGGTCTAATGTAGTGCAGCCACATACATGATCCATAGTTGCTACAGTCTGCGCTAAGGGTGCAAACACGCACTCAGTTGTTATTTAAAATAGATGTTAAACTACAAATTCTGGAAGTCATATAAATATCATCTCTTAAATTGGTGAAATTAATCAATTTATTTTTATACTAATTTTCTCTAAATCCTGTTATATGTTTGTGTTCAGTCAAATAACAAAATAGTGCTGTAGATCCAAAAATATAGGATTACAGATCTCTCTCTCTCTCCATATATATATATAATAAAGGTTATTTGTATTTAGCAGCCTGCAGCATTTTGATGATCCTTTGGTGCCCTCTAGTGACTCATGTGAAATAGTGATCAACTGGGAAATTAATGTTATTTCTGTTAAATAAACTCGTACGATCTTTATTTGTAGACCACACTAAGCAAAAGATAAATAAAAACTCAAAGGGAACTTTAAGTCTGTTTGCATCCTTTACTGGATGCAAGCAGCGGCTGTAATTACTTTAAAATACACAGCAGTCGTTTCATATACACAGTACATGCAGACAGCACTGCTCCAGGACTGTTATGTACTGCTACTGCTACAGAAATACCTCAACAAGAAGACAAACAGTTACCTCATGGCAGGATGTACTGGACTGTGCCACTGTAGGACAGCCAACAATGGGACTTCCAAACCCTATGAAAAGACAACAACATTATTTAATAATTAAAACCTCCTCTTCGACCCCTCTACCTCTCACATTGGACTCTCTGGGAGGCTTCAGACTGAAAGCCCCATAGAGGGCAGAGAAGTGACAAGGTGATGAGAGGCATTATGAGGTATGGTCTTTCCATGTGATTTCCATGCATCCTCATTAAATTTTCAGTTTTTACAGGTGGGATAAGGTCTCTAGGCTAGATGCCCCATGCTAACCAAGCCTACCTCGGATATGGGCAAGAGAAAAGTGAAACCATACCATTGCCAGGATTAACAAGGTCCCTGTCAGGTGTTGAGGAGCCAGGATACTGATGAAAAGTGTACTGAAACAAGAAGGCTCAAGTCGGCAAGAGATGAGAACAGGGCACTGTTGGAGTACTAATATGCAAGTAACCCCAGGAGAAGAGGTTACATGAGCAGGATGTGGGACCTCTGGTATCTCCAGCATCCAGATTGTCAGCAAAACAACTACTAACTCAG